TTTCAATTTTTTTTTTTTTTTTATTTCAGGTCTTTGTATTTTGATAGTTTTCAAATTCCTTGGTTGCTATTTTACAATCCGCTGGATTATTTTAAAGTTTTTATTATTTTTGTTGTTGTTGTTGTTGTTGCTATTGTTGGTGGTAGCCTTGTTGGTGTTGTGTTTTGCATTTGTTTTTTGTGTAGTGCGAATTGTCCCAAAACAAATAAAAGTCAAAAACGTCAATTTTTGTAGCAGAAAATACAGTGGGAGTGTCATGCAATCAGAGAAAAAAAAATTCTTTCATTGAAATGAAACCTATTGTATTTATTTAGTTTCCCAAATGTTTTTCACAGATGTATTTTGTGGGCTGAGATTGAAAAAATAAATGAAAGGAAAGGGAAAAGACATTATTATTATTATTATTATTATTATTATTATTGTGTGTGGTATCATATTGTCAGAAAATTTTAAGCACCTAATTAGCAAGTCCCCTCGGGGTTCTATGTGTAAAAAAGGCCAGTGTAGGTGAGTTATCTATGTACATTTGGGACGTTTTGTTAAGACGGAGAAGATTTTGCGGTTGATATGTGCAGTTCTGCACACAGTGATCTTTTGTAGAACTGACCATGAATTTTAGTCACGTGATTTCAGGTACCCTTCTTTATCATACCCAATGTTCCTACCACAATAGGGATAATCGTAATTTTAAGTTTCCACATTTTTGTTACTACGATTTGCAGATTATTATTATTATTATTATTATTATTATTATTATTATTATTATTTCCTCCATTTGCAAATTCACGTCACCTGTTTGGCAGTTCTCGCAGAAGATCAAGTGACAGCAAGCCTTCTCGCATCTCCAGCGTCTTTCTCAGAATCTTCGTAGATCTCAGCAAAGTCTTAGACAGGACAGTCTCATTTCTTTCCCAGAATGTTCTTCATATTTCTTAATAGCTTAGCATAGTACAAGTCTATCTTAGTGCAGTATTTAGCAAGAATCGAAATCGTTCTATCGAATTGTACCACAAGGTGAGCCTGCAAGCACCGCCCTATAGAATTCATGAACTCACTATTCTCTAGTTCCGAAGAACTAAAAGCTTGCTACAAATATTGTTGTTGTTATTATTATTATTATTATTATTATTATTATTATTATTATAAGTGTTTAAAACAAATTAATACAGATATACGTATATGCTTACATGCACGCATTTGTGGTTATATCCCTTCGTGAATAATTATATGAATTTAAGAAACGAAATATACCAAATAACTTATTATTGTTAATAACATAATGGCAGAAATACAGATCAAATTTGTCAGAAGAGACTTGAGAGAGAGAGAGAGAGGGAGAGAGAGAGAGAGAAGGAGGAGGAGAAAGATTATACACACACACACACACACACATATATATATATATATATATATATATATATATATATATATATATGGTGGAAACCTATGTCAAAGTGGGAAAAGTTTTTCGTCATTTAGGACTTAACGAATTAGGTTTATTCCCTGTTGTGCAACTACACATGCGCAAGAACGAGAGATGCTGGGAATATTAAATTTAAAAGAATAATTAAAAATAACTCTTTTTTTTTAATGTGTTTTGAGATTATAATCTAGACCCCCGCACAAAAAAATTCTTTTAATTTATTTAAAAATCCCCAGCGTGTCTCGTTTTTGCGCATGTGTAGTTACATCAATTTAAACAAAACTAATCTGATGAAGTCCTAAAGGACGAAACGCGTCACCTAACTTTTTACAATTTATCATACATATTTTCTCCAAAATTGTTCTTGATACATAAAACTTATATATCCTTCTCTATATATATATATATATATATATATATATATATATATATATATATATATATATATATATATATATATGTGTGTGTGTGTTTGTGTGTGTCTATCCATGTATATACCAGAGTTGAAAAGTTTTAACCCACCCCCAGAATTAGCATGCAATTAACTTGAAAGAAAAGTGAAACTTTTCCATCCCCCTAAAAGGAAAAAGAGCTCTTAGAGTCATTGAAAACAGAATGGAATCAATTTGAGAAACATCTGCAACAAATACCAAAATTATGCTGCAGTCATCAATGCTAAAGGAGGATATTTTAACGAGAGCAAAATTTAATCATAAAATGCTTTTTTTTTTCTTTAAGTCATAATAACATATCTAAGAAGAAAAAATCATGTCTCGCTGTTTTTTTAACCATGTATAATAATTTTCTCTTAATTAAAGAATAAAACAACTACTTTTGAGTCCAATTTCAAAAAAGATTACAAGGGGTTGCCTCAAACTTTTGAACTGGAGTTTATATAAGTAATAAAATGAAATATTCAAACGAGGTATGTAAGATGGAATTTGTGAAAACCTGTTGAATGTTTCAGGGATATCAAACTGGTTTCATACATCCACCCATACATACACATGCACACGGACACACAGACATACGCGCGCGCACACACTTACACGAGATAGATAAACATAGACATAGTCT